CAGAACATGAAAATACAGTAATGTGCTGTATGGGGCAACCAACAAAAATCGCAGTGCTATATAAGCAAGGTGTACTGTATAAAAAAAGACAGGCTCTGGAAACAAGATGTGAAATGTACAAAAAAAGAAATGGGTTGTAATTCAAACAGTCATCAGACAGATGAGTCATTAAATGAGCAATATCTGTACTATCAAAGTGGATCCCCACCTCCACCACCAGGTACTGCAGCTCAAAGTGTGAGGTGTGAGCTATCTGTTATTTGTTACATGGTCCGGACTTCTGCGAGGCCTATGCAAGGAAACCGTGTTTTGAACTGTAACGAATTGCGAATTTAAAAAGAAGAAGCAAAGGTTGTCCTTCACCACATGCAGCGTGAGAAGCGCTGGTGTCCAAGGGTTCCGCCTGTTCCCTTTCTTTGCTGGCATTCAGAGAAGTCATTTCCGCCTTTGTGGAGGGTATGCAGGGGTCTGGCATTATGACTGGTATTTTGCCAGTGACTAAGGAGGTTGTGCACTTTCTCCCATGTGTATTTGCCATCTGAACGGCCCTCTGTGGGAAGTATTCTGCTCTTTTTTTTTTTTTTTTTGGTCCCGGGAATCGAACTCAGGACCTTGTGTTTACCGGGCAGGTGCTGTGCCACTGAACTGTATCCCTGGCCCTTGTGGGAAGTATTTTGAACATTTTCAACGTGGGTGTTTTAAGTGTTCCTAGAATATTTACTTTGGGCCCTTTCTGAATGGTCCCCCGCCCATTTCTAGGAAGAAGACCCCAGAAGAATGTGGCACGGAGGAAAACCTGATTCAGAAGTGAGAGCCGCTTGTTGGATCATTTAGCTTGCACCGAGGAGCCCTTGGCAAGCGCGGCGAGTGCTGGGGGCTGCACTCTGCACCACAGCAGTGTTCTGCCCACAACGTGCTCGTCCTCACGCGGCGCGAAGCCAGATCTGCTGACAGCTCTGGGTGGTGCTGAGCGCCACGGAGAGAGCAGAATAATGGGAGGGAAGGACACTGCGGCCAGAGTGTTAAACAAGTTATTTTTCCTAAAGAAATTATATTTCAGTCTACGTCCGAATAATGGGAAGGCAGCCACACAGCAGTCACGGGGCGGGGTGCTCCGGGAGGACAGAATGTCAGGTGGCCCCTGGTGGAAACCCGTTGGTCTGAGTATTGGGGAGTGCTCCCTTTTTTTGGGTAAAAATTGATACACTAGATGCCACAGAAGCCTGGCACTGGGCGCGCTGGGGTTGCTGCTCACAGGTGCCTTGGGCTGACCTAGGTTCCTGGAGCTGCCTTGCGCCAGTGGCTTGAGATCAGGCAGCAGGTGAGGGGCCAGGCCTGCCACCTGCGGCCCACAGCCCTTGCCCATTGGTTGAAGGTGCAGCTTAGCAAACCTGGGCTCCCAGCTGCTCTGAGAGCCGTGACAGAGCTGGCTGCAGCGGAGCGCCGGACAGCACACCGTGGGTTGTCTTTCCTTCCCTTCTGTGCTCGATCTTTCTGGGAGCGCATCCATCAACGTGGTGCCCTGAATTCCTAGCCAGGGGTCTGCGTTTAGGGAAGCAACCCAGGATACACAGTGCAGATGTGCGCGCGTGCGTGTTTGAGCGGCACAGAACCCAAGGCCTTGAGCGCTCCACCACGGAGCCACGCTCCCAGCCCCAGATACATTCTCTTCTCCTCTTTTATGCCTTCCTGTGCTACTACCAGACAGGAGCATGCGCTGTGACGCCAGGCGAAGTCACAGGTAAACGCGCTCAGTTACCCTCGGATCGGTAACCTACTCTCTCTGGGCCTCCATGTCCTTGTTACAAAAGTGGGGCAAAAGTAGTGGCACTAAGTGTTAAGGCTGCCAGGAAGGTTAAATGACAGAATGTAGGCTGACCTGAGACACGGGCTAGTGGGGAATGCTCATATCCCCCCATGGTTTCCCTGTGATTACGAAGCCCTCTAAGCGACACCAGACTTCATAAAATGTTGGGAGCTGCAGGTTATACTCCGTCGTGTTCCTTAAAAAGTGCTTGGCATCTTGAGCTGGGAACATGAGGTGGAGGGAACATGAGTATTCTGGGTACCTCTGCAGTGTTGTTCATGTGCACGCTCTCATTTGATCCTGCTAAACACGCAGCAAGAATGGGGGTCCTGCTGGGGCTGCTAAAGACGGGACGCTAATACCCGAAAGGCTGAGTTGCCTGAGAAGCTCCGTACACAGCCAAGGCTCCAAGCCAGATTTGTGCGGATTGAGTCCAGGCTGAGAGCCCCATCTCCTCAGGGTAGGACCCCACCTCACGTCTAGGCTCCTTCTTCAGAAGAGGCTCAGGGTCACCGTCATTCAGGGGCACCTCAGGTCTAGCTGCAGGGACTCCTTCTTCTCGGTGCCACTGGTCCGTGAGGCTTCCCCCGGGGACTGCACCTCTGGGACCGGGCAACTTCTGGTCCCCAGGCCAGTGAGCAGCCAAGCACCCCTGGAGCCACACTCAGTCCCCAAGGACGCACTCTAGATCCTACCTGCCCTCCCCCAGGGTGCACTGCAGGTGGAGATCAGTGGAGTCACGGGGGCCACACATCAGTCCCCGTGGGTAGTAGGTGGGTGCGTGCACCGGGAAGGTGGCCAGAGGTCTCCTCTCCCATCCCGCAAGGCACACAGGGCCTGTGCATCTGGGAACCGGATATTCTGAGAGGGCTGGGACCCAGCTCGGGGGACAGGCCCTGTCCTGCTTTTTCAGGGTCCTCGTGTGGGACACAGACACGCTCCTACCAACAAGAGACAGCAGCTAGGACCTAACCTCGGATCTCAGCCGTGACACAACGGTTTTACAAAGGCAACCCTGCCAGAAGCTGAGACCCATTTCCACACGTTCGAGGAAGCATTTTAGGTCATAGGGCAGTGGGAGCTTGTTTGCTTACAGGGATTTTTCTTTTGGTCTTCTTGTTTTTCCCCAGGACTGGTTTCTGGCAAGTGGGGAAGCCCCAGGAGCCTGCAGACCCACAGGGCCCCGGGACAGGGTCCCCAGCCCTTCCCCCTGGGAGCAGCCCCGGGCCAGGGGTCCTGATAGGGCTGGTGGGTCTGCTTTCTGCAACATCCCTGTAGCCCACCTCGAAGGAAGGGCGTGGGGTGCTGGGCAGCAGGGTACAATGACCCTGAGGTGGAATCTTGAGGTGGGTGGGGCTGGGATGGGAGCTGGGCCCGGGCTCGGGCAGGGAGGAATGCAGCTGAGCTCAGGGGGGTTAGGGTTAGGGTTAGGGTGAGCTGGATGCTAGCAGTGGTCAGGTACTGGTGAACATGAAGGCCAGAGCTGGGTATTGGGTTCATGGAGGGCGTGGGTGCTGGACAGATGTGATGAGGGTTTTGTGAGCCCACCTTGAGTTTTGTGACCCCCCTGGGGGGTCGACTGCAGACACCCTTAAGTTCCATGAGTTATTTTTTTGTTTTTGAACTGCATTGGCGTTCCTTTCCTCCTCTTGCGCAACTGTTTCTCTTCCCTGATTTCTCTTGGATGCAGCTTTTCTTTTAGTGATGGTGCATCTCTTTAGGAGCTGATTCAGACCCTTGTGGTTTCAGACCTTCCTTGCACGCAAGCCTCATGGGAGGAGAGTCCCGAGCCCAGGGACAGTCCGTCGGACCTGGTGTAGGCTCTGTGCAGAGCTCCCAGCACCAGCCAGCTCCAGATGCTGCTCCCAGGGTCACAAACACCAGCAGGCCCTTCAGAGAAGTGGGGCACTGTTGGGTGATGTGGCCGGTGCCGTGCTGGCAGAGAGAGCAGCCTGGACCTGCAGTGCCTGCGAGCTGGCCGGGCCGGTGCAGCTGGAGACTCCTCCCATGTCTGCTGGAAAGCAAGGTGCCTTTCAGGGCAGCCTGGGTCCGGAGAAAAATGCAAAGCTTTTATGCAACAGAGTATTTCTCTTGCCAAGGACTTCCCCCACCCGAAGCTTTCCAGGGTGAGGCTCTGACCCCCCAGGTCCGCTGTCAGTGTAATAAAACAATCTCAGAAAGTTTTAGGTCCAGACAAGTGCGCACGCAGCTGGCGCCTCCCTCCACACACCTTGCTTTAAACGTCCTGCAATCCGGGAGGACCTGACAGCAAAATGAAAACTGGTGCTGCACAGGGCTGGGGTCAACAGCTGGGGCTGAAAAGTGAGAGTTTGGGTCACGCTTTAGGGCTGATGGTACTAGGTGGAGCATTAGAGGTGAATGTTAATGTGCATTTTAAAGTTGAATTCTCTATTCAACGGATCTCTGGTAATATGCTTCTAGATAGCCATGTAGATTTTACTAGTAATAATAATAAATAATAATAATAATAATGAAGTGTTTGCTAAACTCACCCCAGAGAGCATTATGAAAGACACAGTTTTAGTCCCCTATCAAGTGTCTGGCCCTGAACATTGCTACCAGAACCATCTTCAAAGACTGTCAAGGGTTTTGTACCTGAAGACCTTTGCAGATAAAAGTCGGCAAATAAAATCTATTAGCATCTACTATAAGGACGATTTCTGCCATTTCTGGGTTATAGTGCAGCGCGGATTAATTGCTCATACCAAGAGAGTCACTTCTGTTTTGCAGGAATTAGGAAAGAAAATGCAGGTTTAATAAATCCACACCGAAGTTCAGAAGTTCAGGGTAATTTGTCTTGGGAGCAAAGTCCTTCCCAGAGCTAGAGATATTCAAAGGAACTCCTGCTGTTAATGGGATTATTAAAGATATACCTGAGACCAGATAAATATTTGATGATTTTGCAAAGCCCAGGGATTTCTTTCAGTTTTTCTTCTGCTGACATTTCCCCCCATGGGGTCTAGACCTCGTGGTTTTCATTAGACTGCGCAAACCAAGGGAGGCTGGGGTTTCCCTGGAGCGCGGTGCGGGAAGTTGGGGAGGTTGGGGAGGTTTGCAGCCGGGGAGCGCGCGCGCGCCCCCGCCTGGTGTGGGGGAAGGGAGGCGCAGGGGAGGAGAGACAAGAGGGTGGCGAGGCTGCCACCTAGCGGCGACTTCCTGCAGTGTATATAACGCGGGTCTGCGGCCCGGGAGCTCAGTCGCTCCAAACCGCTCTGGGCTAAGGGAGCGATCGCGCCTCTGGGAAGGCGAGCTGCAGCCGTCCGCCGTTCGGCGAGGTAAGAAGGCGCGGCTCGGACTGCAGCCCTGCCGAGCGGGGAAGGGCGGGGGCGGCGGGCAGGGCTCCGGCTCCGAGCCTGGGCGTTCCCGAGCGCTCGTGGCTCGCGCAGCCGGTGCGTGGGAGACGCTGCGGGGTGCGTTCCCTCCCCCGCCCCCCTGCTGCAAAGCGCCTCTGGCTGCAGGAGCAAAGGCAGTTTTCTTAGGTCACTTGTGGAGGGCAGTTTACGTGATCTGTTGGAGGTAGGAGTCCGGCGTGTGTTTACTGCGGTGGGGACCCGGGCTGTCCAGAAGTAGGGCAACTCCGCCGGAACTCACGCGGGCTGTCTGTTCTGCTTGCCCCAAGCTGGCACAGGCATGAGCCTGGCATTGCTGTTTACCTGCCCCGCTGTTGGTATATCAGCTGGGAAACTGATAGAATTGACTGCAAATGCCTAGCTCCAGAGGATCTTTAAGCGAATCGGAAAACCCAACGGAGACGCTTTTTTCATGAATCCAGAGTATATTAGAAATCACCACTTCGGGAGCTTACCAGAGCCTGCGGCAGGGAGGCTATAAATGTGAACGTTAAATACAGCCCCAGCCTCTGGTCCCTTGATGGCATCCTTGTTAATCTAATTTGAGTATTTACTGTCCTTTTAGAAAGCATTAGGTCCCACTTCTGTTAGTGGGGGAAAAGCACACTCTAGCATTCTGAAATCTGAGGATACTGACGTGTACAGCTCAGGTGAAGTGAGCCTTGTGCTCAGTTTTGTTAGCAGGCAGGAGGATTCAAAGGGTGCGGGAGAGTCAGGAGTGAGGTCAGGCGGAGGTGGTTTGCCAGGACTCGTAACTTCCAGGGAGAAAGAGAAGCTGTAAAAGTCAGACTGGCTGTCTCTCTCTCTCCTCGCTTGTTCCTTTTCTCTCTCTCTCTCTTTTTTCTTCTCTTTTCCTTCTGCTCACAACATTAATTAGTTCTCCTCAAATGGGAGTGAGTCTCCTCCTGCCCTGGTTTACAGCCCTTTGAAGGTAGTGGGGCAGTGTCACCCTCTGAAACTTCCGTCTGCAAAGCTGCAATGTGATGACTGTCTTCTTTTCTCTGAAAACACAGATGCCGCCTTTGTGTCCCTTTATTGAGTCCAGGAAAATGCTGAGCGCGCCTAGAAAGGCGAGCAGGGCTGCTGGGTTCTGCGCCCGGCTTGTCTGTGGGTTTCAAATGGATCAGCAAGCGGCAGGGCTTTCTCCTCCAGAACACGCGCTAGGCTGGGAGGCGGAGCCTTGCTCCAGAGCCGAGCTGCGCTTGGGGGCTCGGCTCAACAATTTGCTCTTTTCCGTCTGTGCCATGAACACTTGAGTGAGCACAGTGCGGCTGAGCTCAGCCACCACCTGGAGGAACCGGCAGGGAGGGAGGGTGCAGGGTCAGAGTACAGGGAGGCGGTGGACGGCTGGGTTTTGCTGCCCGTCAGACCTTTTCTTCTAAAGGAGCAAGGACTGCAGTCATCATTTTTCGAGAGTTCCAAAAACTTTAAGCTACTCTTAACTGAGTGAGGGCTTTGGAAGTGAGTTTGTCTGGTATGAATAGCAAGTCCTTGGAGAGCTGAGAAGGTATTATGATTTCCAATCAGGCCCAGCATGGCCAAGTAGAGGCTTTCTGGATGAAAGAAACACACACACACACACACACACACACACACACACACACACACACACCCCTACTTAATTAGAACAGTGGCTTTTTGTGTGATTGGTTTGGGCAGAGAGCTCCTGTTCTGAAGTGGACACGAGGGAAGTTGGTGGAAGTTACTCAGACCTGAACTTCTTGAGCCATCACTTTGCAAACCGTAAGAGTAACCGCGGAGAAAGAAAAAGGCCTGGAAGACTTCAGATCTTTAGAGTTTTAGCCGAGATTTTATAGAACACGAATGGAATTTGGGGCCTGAAGGCATTTGTGCTTTTAAATAAGGCCACTGAGGTACTCGGTTTTACTCTTAAGAACAGGAATAGTATTAAGACGCCTTCTAGTTGGATCACATGTGTGTAGGAATAATGCAGAAAGAAGCCAAAGGCCGTCTTGTGACAAGTGTTTGAGAGGTCCGCAGAAGAGCAGCACAGTACTGGCACCCATTCTAGTGAATGTAAGCAGTCACAGGAAAGACAGAGCGACGGGTCAGGACTGGGAGGTGTGTCCCCGCTTCTGAATGCTTCGTGCTTTTTTGCAGACTGTTTGATGCTTTTTTGCTACTACTGATTTGGAATGGGAAAAAAAAAAAAAAGACACCTAAACCAACCACGGTTGCTTGGTTATCAAAGTCATCCAGGGATTGCGTAATTTCATGGTGACAGGTCTGCAGGGCCGCCACGGGGCTTGGAAGCGATGTGTATTCTGCTGCAGACGCTCTGAGGGTGGACGGAGCTGAGTCTATCTTAGGTGGCCTTGGACCACTGTCGGGCGAAGGGACAGATAAGGAGCCCCGGGCAGTGGGAGATTGCCATGTGAAGGCTGTGTCACTCAGATAGCCTGCACCTTCTTCTTGTCCCGGCTTCCAGGACGTCGCCCTCGGTTTTCTGGGAGGAGCCCGGGCTGTGCAGCCTGGTTGGGGGAACCACGTTGCCTCTCGCTGAGCGCTAGGGTGGGGAGCGCTCCCTGCTGATGGGCCTCCTCCTGCCTCCTCCTGCTCCTAAGCTGGGTGGGAACTGGGACAGAGGCTCTGATTACCCGGGCCACCCCGGACAGCCGCCTTTGTGACGCGGAGCCCTGGATCCGCTCTGCTGGGTACGGCCTTGTTCCTTCTGGCAGCCGAGCACAATGGGCCAGATCAGGTTTCTGGATGTGTCCTTCTCTTTATCCCCTGCTGTGGCCCAGGACCGTGGGAATAGGTGGCCTAGATCAGCATCAGGTGTGGGTTTCCCTCTATATATGTACTTATAATTCTTTAAGTTCTCATGTAATTCAAAAGCATCCTTAACATGCATAAAATAAGACTGTATTGTTTTCCTTTTGCCTGGCCCCAGGGGCACAGACAGTGTGCCACTCCACTATCAAGCCTAGTGGGTGGCTCCAGAGAACCTGCCCTGTGTCCGGTGTACGTCCCCTGGGCTCCTCCCCCAGGCTGGCTGGGTGGGTCCGAAGTGGATTGGATGCGGGAAGTGGTTAAACAACAACAAACAAACAGCAGAAACCCTCAGAACTGCAGTTGCTGCGGTTCTTTAGAGGTGGACAGATTGTTCTGTCTCAGTTGTCAGAAAGGAGCCGGAGTGTGTGAGCGCTGCTAGCCAAGGTCTGCGAAGAAGCGGACGGTGCAGGGAGCTCTTCACGGCCTCTGAGCCTACACCCGCCCTGTTTCCAAGGGTGAGCGTGACTGAGCAGAGTGGTCAGTCTGGCCTTGGGAAAGCCCTGCGTTTCCCAGGAAGTTCCGTTGTGGGACACGGGTCCCAAGTAGCAGAAGCTGCTAAAGGAAGCCAGGTCCAGACAGGGAGCAGGGCAGCTCCTGGCTTCAGAGCTGGTCCCAGCGCCCCAGGCCCTGGCCCACAGTATCTTATTTGAGTTCTGGAGCAGCAGGCAGCACCCCCCGCCCCCATCCCTGTCTGCAGCAGCCGCTCTGCACCAGCCCAGAGCCCCTGGGCAGGCTTTCTGGGTGTGTGTGTCATCTCTGTCCTCAAGTGCGCCCTCTGCCCCAGAGCCACGGCTTCGGTCCACCCCCGAGGCTCCTGCGCGGACAGGCCCAGGCCTGACAGGCCTTGCTCTCGCTCTCTGTGGGGTCGTTGTCTCAGCCGGGCTGGGTGGCTCTCCTCTAAGGTCCCTGGGCGCCTGCAGTGGGATTCTGTCCCCTGCACCCCCTTAGAGGCCTGGCAGGGTGACGTGCCTCCTGTGCCTGACCGCCTAGCTCGATGGCTGTTCTGGGGGCAGCGAGTGGTCCTGCTTGGACATCCTCACCTGCCTCAGAGCAGAGGCCGCAGAGAAGAGGCCCCCAGACACCAGCTGGGTGAGTGAGGATCAGAGAGCCTCTCCGGGACACCCAGATCCTCTGTGGCTGGCGTCACTGGCCTTGGTGGATCGATTCATCCAGGTCCCTCTTTGCGATTCATCCGGGTCCCTTTGCTGGTATGATTTCACAAGGATGAGTGACAGCTGTGCACACCGGTGGGTGCCTATAGCCTCAGCTATTTGGGAGGCTGAGGCAGGAGGATCCTACATTTGTGGCCAGCCTGGGCTATGCTGTGAGGCGCTGTGTCAAAATAAAATGACAAGGGGCTGGGGATTTAGCTCAGCGGCAAAGCGCCTGCCTGGCAAGCGCAAGGTCGTGAGTTCGGTTCCTGGTACCGGAGAAAAACCAAAAA